GATTATCGTGCACGGTGAAAGGAAGATTATGCAACAAGTTGATGGACATTAAGCTATACAAGAAGTATGCCTTTACCTGCCACCTTGTGCACTATCAACAAGGACCCAATCAACTAGAGAACACTCTTCCTCAGAAATAGTGTTCAAAAGACTCCCATCGTCCTTTGCATGGAGAACATATATTACACGATTTTCCTGAATTAAAGATGGGAAAGCTAACCGAGAACCGTGTCCATGAAGCTACATTGTCCAAATGTTGTATAATTAAGTATTTGATTGTCCTAGACCGCACATTAACCTTAGGCAAAAAAAGTACCTGCACAAATTCAAGGTTTGACGCATCAGAAGCTCTTAGAATTGTTTCTGAATCATCATCCACAAATACACCCACAGGCTCTGCCCCATGATCTCTTGCAACCTTCGATATCTCCTTTGCAACCGAAAGTGAAACAGAACGTTTTGAGTTAGGCCAGATGATCATTCCAATTAAATTTGCACCAGCTTCAGCTGCCATTGCAGCATCTTTAGCTGATGTAATGCCACACATCTTAACCAAAGGTTGACTCTTTCCATGCTCCTTTGAGGAGCATGAATCATTTCCCGCATCGTTGAGTTTGCATGAAACTTGATGCTTAAGAAGAGAAAATTCCACTTCTGTCCCCTTAAACCTACAGAAATCATTTTAAAATATTTGAATATTGACTCATTTATGAATTATGACCTAGTCACCGAACATGATCAATCCAAGCAATGACATGAAATTAAGTCCGCGTGACATGAATATAAATGCTATACAAATCTTGCGACGAGTAGGTAAAGGACAAGGAATTGGACTGCCAGAAATTGGTCTTTTCTGAAAATTTGCTGCTCTGACTCGGAAGGAAGTAACTCCCAGTGGTCGAACCTGTAGAAAAAGAACACCAAATCTTGCAAGGTCAGCAGATTTTATTTTTATTTTTAAAATGAAGGGTTTGACATATGTACAGAAAACTTCTTTTTTATTATTGTAATAAAACAAAAAAAAGAATATGAGCTCTGTGAAATTTTAGGATAACTTTGTCTCTATCAATCAACAGAAGTTTCCAAAAATAAGAAAACTGGGGACTTGAAAATTGCAATTCCTAAAAATTCACCTTAACTGTGAAAGAGGGCAGGAAGAGCCAATATGAACAATAATTTTTCTTTTCTGGAGAAACCAGTTAAAAAGGATTACAGCAACAAGTATATATGAATGAACTGCTAAAGTGAGTCTCGACAAATTCACAGGACATCATAAATTAATGTTTGATTATAACAAAATCAATTCAGGCAGGAACTTAATCAAACATCTGGAAGGCAAGTATATCAGGTAACAACTGGAGTGGCAAGCATTACACAATGCTCGTGGGAGATTGTATGATGGGTGACACCAGACAATTTAGTTCCGCCATTGGGGTTTGTTAGTGATTCAGCCATTTACGAGTGAGAAAATTATGATAACCCAATAGCAGATCCAAGAAGACTGGGTATGCGCAATTCAGGTTGAGAACAGCAAAGTGAAAAGAAAAGTGCCCAAAAATTATACACCTTTTGGCATTACAAAAAGGAATGGTAGTTTGCCGAAACCTGGTAACGAACACACGAGATGGGTAAAACGAGAAACCTGTAAGCATGGTGACACTTGAATTGAACAGTGACTTGACCGTTGCTCTGAAAAACCGACACGGATTAGAATGAGTGAATGTTGCGGCAGGAACCAAACTCAGAGTTTTCTTACCATTTGGGGTACACAGGAAATTCCTAAAATCCAAGATAGGGCAAATTGCAAATGTACGGATATCTACGTTAATTTTGTTTGAAAATTACGATATCGCTATTCTTTAAAAAAAGTATAGATGGATTTTAAAATTTATAATACTTTTAATATACTTTTTATAATCATATATTTTTTAATTTTACGATATTTAAACAACTTAACATTTTTTTTAATATTTTATATCTATTTTTTTTAATAATTTCATTAAAATGAAATATAAACTTTTTTAATTTTGTGTAATTTTTTTCCTTTGAGACATTTTTTTTATAATTTAACTAACAAATTAAAAGAAAAAGTTTAACTTTTTTTTACTATTTTATTTTTCTTAACTTTATATGTTAATATTTTTCAATTTTTAAATAAAATAGTTTTTAAATTTATATACGGTATTTATTATATATATATTTAGAAAATATAGTACTATTTTTATGTTTTTTAATCTTTATATTATCACATTTTTTAATTGAAATTTGAAAATGATTAATAATAATATATAATTTTCTTATTAAACTATATATATAAAATCAATTTAGTAAATTATAACAATATTTTATATTTTAAGATATTTATTTATAATTTGATGAATATATCAAAATTAAAAAAGTATATAAAAAATGTATATATATCATTTTAGTAATTAAATTATCTAAAAATTTGCAAAAAAATAAAACGTATAAAAGTTTAAATAGAAGAAATAAAATAAAGATTGAAAAGTCGTGAATAAAAATGATAAATTTTTATAGAAATTAAAAGTTGTATATACAAAATACGACTTCATCGTTTTTAAATTTGATCAATTTTTTTTTAATTTTTAATATGAAAATTATTCAATTATAAGTTTTCTTGTCCGCCTCTACTAAAAGTGAATTTTTGAATAAATTGTGTTATCTATTTATGAATTTAGTTGAAATATTTATATGTTGAAGTTGTATTGTTTTTACATAATTTTACTTAAATATAATTGATTTTAAGTGAAGATGTGTTTTAATTTCACAATTCAGAATTTCATGATAGATGCAATATACGTTAATATAATATGTCAAAAATATGTTAAATTGGTTGTATAATTAATTTAATATATATTTATATTAAATCGATTAGGAACCAATCAATCTAATATTTTTTAAAAATAATTAAAAAACATATTAAATCGATTATCAACTACAACTAAATAATGTAGTTTCTTAATGCTAAAAGTAATTTTAATGACCTAGAAAATTAAGTGTTCTTGTCATTTTATGTTATCTAGACCCATCCATTTAAATATTTTATTTAAAATATACATATAAATAGTAAACAAATATTAAAAAACAAATAGATGTGATGAAATTACGTATATAAGATTGTTTGTGACGAGCACCAGACAGAGATGAGATTCATGTGGTGAAACACAGTTCATCCTCCCCGTCATGATTCCCTTCCACGATAGAACCGATTCCTTTCCACTATTCTTCCCAAAATCTCATATACCACCCAAAAATAAGAAGGTTACGTAAAACAGTCATGCATGTGAAAATAATGTAATTTTAAATACTGTAAAACAAGATGTATCATCTCATATCTCTTCACATGAGACGAGATGAGAAGAGAAAATGATCCCGTAGATCCGCGCTCTCCAATGCTTACAAATAGTCTCAAACAAACACCAACCAGAAGTACAAATCCGCTCTCCCTTATCTTCGTAAGCCCATATCTAATTTCTTCCTAAATTAAAACTCTATCGTATCCACACATCAAAATTTAATACAGCCTAAAACTTATTCTTAATATTACATTAATTTTAATAAAAAAGTATATCTAAAATTTTGAAATATTTAAATAAAATAACCTAATACTAACCACTTTTTTAAAGTCATAAATATTTCCCCTAAAAGATAAATAATTACGACTATAGATTTCATTTAAATATAAAATTTATTAATCACTCATAATAATATATATGACGCTCATTTTCAAGGTGACCCTATAAATTTTAATTATTATACTATGATTAATATATAATTGTATTATATAAACTATTATTATTTTAAAAAGCACATGTATAAATGTTCTTATTCATTTAAAATTAAAGAAATTATGAATATAATAGGATAAACCAAACTAATGAATGATTACATGATAATAGTATAATTTATAATGGAATCAGAAGGTGATGTCATTGATGAGAGTGGGGGAGCTGATGAGGTCCAAAGTTGGAGAGGCGTGTTCTAACAAAAATCATTTGCTGTTGGCTCCTAATTTGGTGAGCCATACTCCTAATTCACATGCTGTTTGTTACGTTTTCTAATTATGCTATGTATTTAAACATATAAGACTTTAAGGTTTCCAATTAAATGTCTTATTTCAAAATTAAACTCAAAAAGGAAAACTAACATGTACTTTTTGATAAAGTAAAATTAGAATTAGAGCGTGGATAAGTTAATTTGTTGCCTGAAAAAGGTATTTATGAAGAAGTTTATTGAAATAAATATTTGGCATATTTATCATTGGAAATTTTAAAAATAATTAAAGTTCACAGAATAAATAGTACGGATGTTAAAAAAATGTGATAGAATTGGATCACGCTGCCAATTCACATGCTGAACATAGTATCAGTGATGGACCACAAGGTGCGACAACCATAACCCTGTCCCAAGATGGTTACCGATTTTATTTTAAATAAACAGAAAATTGTTTAATAATAATATTTTAGAGATTTCAAACAAACACGTCAACGTCATGAAAAACAATCAATAACTGATTTTTTTAACATTCTAACATATATTAATTCTTTTAACGAAATTATGAAAAAGACTTAAATTGAAAGATGACTAAATAAATAAATAAATAAATAAATAGTCCCCACATCGAAGTGTCTGGTGTCTTGGAATTAACTTGCACAGCATTTCACACACAGAAACACCCTTTAAAAACCCACAAACTTCACGTTTTATATTACGTCCATTTCGCTTTTCATGCCTCCACGGTCCCACTCTCTTCTCTTCCTTTAACTTCCACCATATCTCATCCCGACACTCTTCTTCCTCTTCTTGCTTTCTTTCTTTCTTTCTTTGCCTCAAATTCAAATCCATTATCTTTCTCTTCCAAGTCTCTCAACTTTCAAATTAAGAAAATAGCCACTTCCTTTCATACTTCACTGTCTATTTCTTCTTATAAACACCAACCAACCAATTACCCTGTCTAGTATTATACCACTGTCTAGCTAGCAATGTCAAAAGACCAACCAGATTGGCCAGAACCTATTGTTCGGGTTCAGTCTTTATCCGAAAGCTGCTTCGATTCAATCCCCGAAAGGTACATCAAGCCCTCTACCGATAGACCATCATCCGGAAGCTCTGATTTTGATGATGCCAACAACATCCCCATCATCGACCTCGGAGGTCTCGGTGGCGTCGACCAACATGTCTCATCCTCAATTCTTAAGCAAATCTCAGACGCTTGCAAGGAGTGGGGCTTCTTCCAAATCACAAACCATGGCGTCGATCCCGATTTGATGGACAAGGTTAGGGAAACTTGGCGTCAATTCTTTCACTTGCCCATGGAGGTCAAGCAACAATACGCAAACTCACCCAAAACTTACGAAGGCTATGGAAGCAGACTTGGAATCGAGAAAGGTGCTATTCTTGATTGGAGTGATTACTATTATCTTCACTATCTTCCCTTGGCTCTCAAGGACTGTAACAAATGGCCGAACTTGCCTCCCCAATGCAGGTAAATTCACCACAACATACTAAACTTCGACAAAACTTTACACAAAATTCTGTTCTTAATATGCTTACTATACTATAACTTCAATTATGTTAGTGAGATGAAAACCATATCATGATGGAATTGATAAAACTCTATCTCTGATTAAAGTTTTTTCCAATTAAAACCAGAGTTTCGTCTCAGTACAGTACATATACGAATTAAAATATTAGTAATTATACCGAGATATGAAGTTAGTAGTAACATCTATATGTAAGCTCTGTCCAAAAAAGAAGACATGAAGTTTGTTTTGTATGTGTGGTAGTAATTAACAGCGTATTGTGTTATGTAGGGAAGTGTTTGATGAGTATGGGAGAGAGTTAGTGAAGCTGTGTGGGAGGTTGATGAAGGTTTTGTCGATAAACCTTGGATTAGACGAAAAGACTCTTCAAAATGCTTTTGGGGGGGAAGACATAGGGGCATGTCTGAGAGTGAATTTTTACCCTAAGTGTCCACGACCAGAGTTAACACTGGGTCTCTCATCACACTCAGACCCTGGAGGAATGACCATGTTGCTTCCAGACGATCAAGTTCCTGGTCTTCAAGTTCGAAAATTCAACAATTGGATTACTGTGAAGCCTGCACGCCATGCTTTCATCGTTAATATTGGCGATCAAATTCAGGTGAGTAATTTTCGATCTCTCTGTTATCCATATTCACACATTTTTGCATTAATATGCCCACTTACAGAGAACACGACACATGCGAAGTTCAGTTGTTACTTTAGTTTTTCCTTTTTCAACTCCTTTATCATCTTTTTGAACATTTAAGATAATTTTCCACACCACTATTGTCAAAGGATGAAATTAAAAATGAAGAGTTTTGTTAATACACTCAAATAAGAAATATCTTAAAAAAATGTGTGACTTTCACTGTTTTTCAATGTATATAAAAATGTGTTTTAACAAGCATGCTAAAAATATGTTGTTAGCGTGTCATATTTTCAACCGTTTTAATTAAAAGACTACACAGCATTAATCGGTTCAAAATATTTCGGATGTTTGCCTTTGAAATAAATAATTGGATGATGATATCATTACATTTTAATTGGATTCTTACTTTATTATTTACATGTTTAATTATTTTAGATGAATAATTTATTCTGGAATAAAAACGATAAATAAGTGATAGACTTTCTTCAAGTTTACGACATCTAAAATATAAATTCTGAAAACTACGCACTTACATAAAGTAGATAAACATTTGACCTAAAAGGTTTAAGGATAGAGTCATAGGATTTAATGTAAAAGGGATAAGATTCCTTCATAGTGTCGAAAAATATATCAAAATGGCCCATCGAGCTAAAGGGTAAGGAGTATGCAACTTACGATTCAGTTAAAGGTAGATAAAGAAAAGAAAAAGAAACATAAGAAATAAAATAAATTAACGTTGTCATTATTAGGTTTAAAGTTATAATCCTGTCATCTTTATCTTGTAATTTGAAACATGTTAAAATTATTTTTGGCATATATAAGGTCTGTGTGAAAAGGAAATACGGAAAAAGGTGAGTTATGCTTTTTATGTGTGTGAACTGTAAAAATTGCACTGTGATGTAACTAAAAAGTGACCAATTATATGAGGAGCATATGAAAACAGAGTAACCGTTGTTGGTCATGTGCAGCATCACTATCAAATTATTTAACTGTTGAAGGCCCCATAGGCCAACATGTTCACTCTCACTCAACTGGACAGGTGGAATATTATTTAATTTGCAAAACATGAAATGCTTTCCATCTCACATCCTCATCACAATAATAACATTATGGTTAATTACGAAATCATAAGACGGTGTTGGTGAATGATTTGGTTGTTTTTTGTTTGTTTGTGTTTGAGTAGGTACTGAGCAATGCAATTTACAAGAGTGTGGAACACAGAGTGATAGTAAACTCAGATAAGGAGAGAGTTTCTCTGGCTTTTTTCTACAACCCGAAAAGTGATATACGCATAGAACCAATAAAGGAGCTGGTAACAGTGAATACACCTTCACTTTATCCACCAATGACCTTCGATGAATATAGACTCTTCATTAGAATGAGAGGACCTCGAGGAAAATCTCAAGTTGAATCTCTAAAGTCTCCAAAATGATTCATTCTTCACATTCCAACTCTATATTTCCAAATTTCCAAATGTAATATACAATAATAATAATAATAATTAATAATAATAATTAGTTCGTACCATGCTTGGTTATAACTATTTAAGAAATAATTTATTACTTCTCAACTACTCCCAAACGTGCTACAAAATCTAGTAAAGAGATAGGTATTTGTTTGCACATTGAGGCCTTGAGCATAGATATGATGAAATGGAGATTGGACATTTTGGTATGAAATTATTTGGACAAGTTGTTTTCTTCTTTGGTTTACGATGATGTCGAAAATTTGATTGTGTCTAAATAAAGCTGGGTTTTGTTTTGTCCCCACTTCTGAATCGATTATTTGTGGTGATAACTAAGCACGCCATAATTTTAAATCATATCTACCTTATTTATTGTACACATTGCTGTCTGCTTTATAAAGACATATTTTAAATTCATCAAATACCGCAACTTCCACTCCTTTCCTTGCCAATTTTTTATTCTTATTTGTAAAAAGAGTATATTTCCCTTTTTAATTCATTTTCCTCCAACAATTTGCATTTCTGTATGTGGAACTGGGTTAATGACATGCATATTTATATTATTCGAACATTTTTAGTTAGATAAAATATATTAATTTTATAAGTTTGAAATTGGTCTTAGGCTTTTAAAATTATATATTTTGATCCATACATCTGTTAAAATTTTAACGATACACGTGTTTGTTAAGTGTAGTGATTATAAGTTAGTTTGACTAAATAATTATATAGTAACTTGAAAAAGGTATAATTAAGTTTATTAGGAAAACAACCATTTGAGTATTTGTTTAATTTATCTATTTTGGCTACATTAGTTATAGTTTGTAGGGCTTTTTTTTTTGTATCTGTATGCTCATTAAATGTTTAAATGATTTTTTTATATATAAGTTTTAATTTCCACAGTCTTTTTCTAACCTTGAAATTCTTATGGGTTTCGTTTTACTTCTGACATCTTTTTTTATTTTTTTTTCACTCAGACGGTCGTAACACGCAACCTTGATGGCACCATTCCTTAACACTATTTTAGAAATATTATTATTTTTATACTCTATAAGTTTATTTAATTAAATTTTATTTATGTGAAAACAGATCATACATGCATAATAATTTTTTAGAAGGAGCTTCACGTGACTTTTGTTTGTTTTTTTAGCATTTTATCTCAGTCTGACATTTTATAAAACTTAATTTACAATAAAAATTAAATACGTTTGTTTTCTATGCAAACATCAATTAAAAACTTAAGTGAGGTAATTTTTTTGGTATTATATTAAGCTCAAACTTGAAAGTTAACCTATGTTATGTAATACCAATTACACTAATAAAATACGGTAACTTTCCATACATACATCATATTTTCATCACTTTTGACTCGTAATATCCGAGTTGTAATATATATATATATATATCTTATAATCTCAAACAATATTCATAACAAGGTTAAGAGTTATAAAGTGAGTCACGTCGCATTGTTAATCTATCAAAAATTGAAAAGTTAGATTGGAGTTCTCAATTCACCAGTTTATTTTAATTTTTATTTTTTAATTCGCCAAGCTAACATGTCAAACGTAGAATAAGATAAACTTATTCGTTAATCCGTCTTTTAAATTAAAAATTTTAAAAATAAAAAAATATATAACAATATTATAATTTAAATACACAACTATGTAAATATACAAAATTCATATTTATTCATTCATCATTTAACACAAAACCATAAAATAACATAATATATCAATCAGCCAACATATTTTCAATTCAAGCAATTCATATTTTGAATCCGCCACTCAAACAAAACTCTTAACGATACCAACATCACAAAAATTGATGTGCTTTTTTTTCTTTTCACTTTCGTCCTAAGTGACTAATTGAAAAAACTGTATTCTATCAAGATCAGCCTCACATATTCTATTAGACTTTAAACTAGAAAATAAAATGTTAAGTTATATTATTAGTTTTTAATGTGTGATATATAATCGATTTTTAATTTTCATATTTAATTTTATACATAGTTTATTTTGTTTACTATTATTTAATTAAGTTATAGATTTAGCATATTCATTTAAGCAATTAAAGTATACAAAATTTTAAAATTAGATCAAAATTAAGGATTTTAAAAATGGAAAGTATTAAAATGATAAAAAAAACCAAAATATTTATAAAATAAAATTACAATCAATCCAAATTAAAAATATAAATGATCCCATCAAAGCATGCATGCACAAGCACTCATACAAGAATTGTAATAAACATTTGAAGTGTGGGCATTGTTGTTGTTGTTCTTCTAGATGTGTGTTTTTCTATCTTAATAATAGTAATAAATAAACCAACCATCATTTTCAAACATGTTTATTGAGTTACCATTATCTTGTGCCTTATGTAAAAAAACATTATTTTATGTGCGATCCTTTCATAAACAAATGAATGCGACATATTCATGTCGCCACTGAGCTTTCTCCAAAGTTAAAACTAAAATTAATGATTTCTGATTTGAATTTTCTAAATGCCGACGACGTCCAGAGTTAGAATTATCACATATTCATTATAAAATAATTAATATCGTAAATTATATAAAAGGTTTGAAAATTCATAGATACTGTATATTATCACGTGCTTAATTAAAACTGGAAATAAAGTATTTTGAAAAATGAGTCACATTAGCAATATGATTGGGCAGTTTTCTTATGTGGAATTTGAATTTGGCGAAATTGAATTGGCTGTTAGCAGCAAAGTACCAAATTATATTCAGTAATGGTGGAAGCAGTTGTTGATGTGGGTAACCTTTCTTTGTCTTTTATTTTTTTAATCAATAAAATAACCAACCTTTCATTTTCTTTAATACAGTGTACTTGTTTGGGTTCTTTTTGTAGTTTTCTTAATATTACATTACTAAATTCATATATTTTACTAATTTCTATTATACATTACTCTATTGCTTAGGTGTCCAGCATAGAAAAAACATTTTTTTTCTATCCACATCATGCTTCCAACTTATGTTTTACTCATTCTATTAATCCTATTAAGTTTAAAATTTCAGGTCATACTCAAAATGTACAATTTTGTCAATTATAACCATTATACCTCAATTTGAATCTACTAATCACAAGTTCAAAAGCTAAATAGGCGCCATACTCGATCTAAAACAATCTATTGACAAGAATCATAATAAAAATAATTTCACTAATAATAACTTTTATATTGTCAATAAATCAAAATTTCATTAATCAAATCAAAATTTATACCAAAAAAATGAATCAATTAATAATGCAACCTTTTTCATCAAACAAAGTTATAATGAAAATACAAACTTCTTACTTAATAGATGAAGAAAAAATGAAAAATATTGAAGTAAAAGGAATATATTGCAAATTTAATAATGGTTTCCTCTACCATCTTTGCCTTTAGTATTTGGTCTTCATTCCAAGTGCTACGAGTATCTTTAGTTTTTTAGTTATCATCTTTAATCTTCAAAAATGGATTGTTGGTCTCGAATTGTGGGATATTTGCAAAGAAAATTCAATGCTCAAGTTAGTATTAATAGTTCATTCTCAAAAAGAAAACACATCCTCTTTAACCTTGGATGTTTACCTATTTTTAATTTTTTTTTGTTGGGCTTTTACCCTTTAAGTGATTAAGGATGATGCAATCCTGATTTAGGTTTTGTTTTAATCATCATTTAGTTATGTTAAGCATTGATTGTTTTCTCAGTCATGTGGACTGAAAGAGTATAGTGACAGTATTCGTGAGATTGGTGATGTATTTATGTAAGGACTTTTACAGCTAGCAAAATAGGTTTGAGGGTGTCTTTATGTTGAGAGGTTGAGAAACTGAGAAGTTAAGTTAAGGTGTTGAGGTACTTAGTGTTTGAGTGACTATGTAAAATGTTGTCAGGTGTCGAGTGATTGAGTGACTAATGTAGAATGTTGTCAAGCTACGTCGAGATGTTAAGTGGTTAAGTGATTATGTATAATGATGGTAGACAACACTAATGTGTTGAGTGATCGATGTAAAATGTTGTCCAACTATGTTGAGGTGTCTAAAAGTCAAGTAACATTCTAAAATGTAGTCAAACGAGATTAAAATGTCGAATGGTCAAATAAACTCGATTTTGTATCGAGAAGTAAAAAAATCAAAGAATAGTACAATACATCTGTTTATACTAAAACTGTAAATTAAAAATAAATAATAAAATGAAAAGAAGTAGAGACACATATGCATATACTAAAAAAACAAAAGACAAGAAAGGAATAAAAACATAAGTATTACTTGAAATTCAATTTATATAATTGTTTTAGATTATAAAAATTCAAAATAAATTAAAAATATGCAATTACTTAATATTATAAGATTTTATTCCATGATTAATCATACTCTTAGATATTATTTTCAAGTTTCGGTGGCTAATCAGTTTTATAAAAAATATACAAGTTATAATAACTTTATAGTTATGAATTGGTTCTTCACTTTTTTTTAATTTCTTTTTAAGCCAACTTTAACATGACGCAAATATAAATAAGTTCAACGAAAAATGAAAGCAAATATAAATAAGTTCAACGAAAAATGAAAGTATTCAAAATGAGAAAATCGAAAAACTACTAGAATTACAAAGCTCACCCCTAAACTAAAGATGCATACTTTGTTGGGATACAAACAAAGTTCTACATCGATTAAAAGAAGAGATAGATATGAGTTTATATACACATAGATACCTCCATTGGTAAGAAGTCTTTTGGAGTGGTACCAAAAGTAAATAAAGTGAACAATATCTTACTAGTGTGGAGATATGTGTATAACGAACCTTCCCAACATACTTTTCCTAAACTAATTTTCGTACAATCTTAAATTTTTCTCATTCAGTTTTCTTTAGGTAATGTGTTAATTATATCAAACAAGTGGACTCTCCAACAAAATTAATTATTCCTGTACTTTTGATGGCATCTTAATGCAAAATAATTGACATCATTTTAAGAAACCTTAGCAATACAATGTGCTTAAAAGTTGTTACACATTTTATGGAAAAAAAGTATATCAAATAATGAAAGTGGTTGGTTATATATGAAAATCTCATGCTGATAATTGTTTATTGTTAGAGAAAATAACTTATTTATGAAAACCTGGATAATGCAGATTTTAATAATCGGTTGTTAAATGATTGGATCAATGTTTTAGTATAATTGTTAGCAGCACATGTTTATTGAATCATTTACTTTTGATAAAAAAAAAACGAGATACAATAATAACTTATCTATCATATAAGTTCGAAGAACTGTAGAATGATACGCGATGAATTAATATTTAAAATTGAATTATTTTAAGTTTAGTACTAT